CCGCTACGTAATGGTTGTACGTGTTATAAGTGTCGTAATTGTCTAACGTAATAACTTCTTACTCACCAGAAAAATAATTGTTCTGTTTATCGCAACAACAAATAATAATAAATAATAATTTCACAATTCCGTTTATCTTCTCTTTTGCATTTCTTTCTTTCTAAAAATATAGAGGAAAGTTCCTTGCGAGACTCCTAATATGAAATAGGGGTTTCTGCCGAATGTATATGCATCATCTGTTGATTTCGCCATGAATTCATTGCCCTTGGAGTGAAATCTGTTTGATGCAATCATTGTCAGATCGTGTAATCATTTGCAATCATTTTTGTGATTGAATTTGGATGTTGAAACCTGCTACCTCATATTAGAAGCCTGTTTTATAGGGAGACTTTCCTCTACTATCGTAATCGTTTAAATATAATTAAATGAGTGAGAAAGGAGAAACTTACTTGTACCAAGAGTAACACACTTGTATCAAGTTGCGAGGAAAGTTTGACCTTTCTAATCGCTCTTTTGACATCAGATATCACTTTACAGGACTTACAGTTTTCGCGCTTTCGATATATCAAATTCATGCGCATGCAACTCTGACCTCGCGCAACAAGTTACGGTATACGTAAAATAATTTAAGAGGCAAGATCGATTGCACGCTTGTTCGCGCCTCGCGCCGAAGGGTATAACAATGAAAGTCCCGTTTCCGGTCATTCTGGGGTTACCGAAGTAATTAACGGCGTGAATAAAACTGCGCGCAATGAAATCTGCGACATAGAGATCCAATTCCACGCTATTAATTGCACCGTAAAGTACCCGATTAAAAGGAGGCGGTAGGGAAGCATTTTAACGGTTGACTCCGCCCAATTTAATTTTCAGCTATACGACACTGTACTTGGCGACACGTTTTCTTCGCATCTCGTAATTTTGATTCTAGGAAAGGATTGTTCCAAAATTACACATTCATAATTCCGTTGCAATAAATACGCGCTATCGGTGAAGGAACCGATTATTTTTACATGTAGATAAAACTATAACTTGACTATGAAATTCATATTTTGTTTATATTTTGATATTTTATGTATATACTATTTGCATTTACGCATATGACACTAATTTTAAACTTCATCGCTTACTTTATATAAAATGCTGCTTTACCTACAAAAATGTAATTCATATCTATAAAATAAAAAGATCTACGTGCATTACGTTAAATGTCACGCAAAAGTATTAATGCAAAATGAAATTTTTTAAATTAATAGAGTAAAATAATAATTATCTTGTTTAATAATAATTAATATTTCTGATATTACAGACTCTGATATTACCTAATACAATTATAATTAATTAAGCTATTACGCTATCTATATAATATTACTAATTTCATAACAAGATACAAAGCAGTTATAAAAGAAGCCATAAGTACAGAAGTCGTGAATCGATTGAACACAGCGCTGTAAAGCACGTATTATAATATTCAAGAACAAGTGAGACCATTTAATCAATTTAATGGAACAAAGTCAATTACGTTTTAAATTTCGATAAGGTCGTTTCTCGGAAGTGATTCACCCTTTGCGTGAGTTACATAAGTATCGCAATTTTCACGCGCATGTGTATATACATCGTCATCTGCATAAAGTATTTCGAGGAGTTCGTCGAAGTGCAAGAGAAGTTTCCCCTTGTAGATCTCGAGAGTATTTAATTCACTAACAAACATTCCTTACTACAAAGGAGCAATTCATCTACCCTTGAGATTAAAGGCATTCGAGTTACACGATATATCGCAAGTATCACGTGTTCCATGAACTTCTTGGATGAACAATTTCCCTTCAACGAAACATTCGAACGAAATAAATTACACTTGTCAGCTACACGAAGCCATCTCATCATAAATGGACCGCAATGTCACACACAGGCCGGAACATTTTTTAATTATATCTCTCTTTTAACAACGCCAACTTTTAATACCATTTTAGTAACATGATAATGTAATTTACAAATGTTACGCGAAAATAGTGAAATTAAATTCAAATGTAATTTTACATATAATAGCTACGAAGGAAAAAAATATATTGCGTAATAATTTAGTATTTTGCGTTGTATTAATGAGCTGAAAAATGAAACAATTTCGAAAAGCGTCTCAGACGCGGAAAAAAGTCCTCTATTATGAGATAGGATTCTAATACGAGACGGCAGATTTTCAACGTCCAAATTCAATCGCAAATCGTTTTTTCTCGCGACGACCTAACAATCAATTTTCCCCTAAACAGATTTCCCTCCGAGGGCAATAAATTCATGATGAAACCGATGATGCCTATTAATTTAGCAGAAACTCCGCTTTCCCACGTTAGGAGCCTGCCTCATAATAGAGGACTTTACGTCCTCCATGTTTCTCCCGCCGTTTTACTTTATTCTTCAAACGTTCACAGGGTCTTTTAATGAAATGTAAAGTAGGTCGCACTTTTCGTGCAGACTGACCGTGTTGGTCCTGCTCTATCAGGACGTCAAGGTTCGTCAGAACCCAAGACGGATCTAGCTGGTACGCTTTCAGAAGCCGCTGCATTACGCGCCTATATGAACCCTCGCAAGGAGTACACGCTATATCCATAAAAACGACAAGCTGCCGAGCCTGCGGGTGTCCACGTTACGTTACGCACCGTAGCCAGGATACACGAAAAGCCAATACCGCCACTCGAGCAAGTCGGTCAAAGCTCGGTCTCGAGAGCCAGCGAGCCCGAATGCGCCCCTAATCTCATTACGTACGGTCATGGTCAGAAAGGTTGTCCGACGTTTTACAGTAAATTTTCGGAATATTCGTACGTACCGTTGCATAGATATTCGTACGTGTCATTCCTTTGTCCTAACAATTGCGTCGCTGGACATATCCGTGAGCAAAAGCAACGATCTCTCGCGTGATAGACGGTATTTCCGAAATTTATCATACGACGTCGGAAAATCTTTCTGACCACGACTGTACGTACGTGTACATACGTCGTTACAACGGCTAGGTGTACCATTTGACGATGAACCACGCTATACGAGAACAACTTCGAGGTACAAGTTTCGATAAACTACTCATCGTCATAAGAGGGAGCTAATCATTTGCCAAATCGTTGGCCGTACTTTTGGAGACGTATACCATTAAAAATTAAGCCGTCCGAGAAACAGATTTCGCCATTACAAATGGACAAGTATAATCTTATCTTCCATTTAATCATCGAGTGTTTTAAAGTGGGTTTTACTTCGCGTCGCAACAAGTGATTCAATTCTCATTGAAAATTGATTTCGAAAGGTGACTTCGAAAGGTCTCAAATAATGAAGTAAATTCAAAGTAACAAAAGATAAACCTAGAACCACACAAATTATTCGATGAACCATGAAAAGTATAAATTTTAGTTTCGCTTCTGCTCACCGCATATTCGCAATTTTATTGCGTCAATATTTTTCGCGTGAATCTCTATTTCCGAAAATTCGAGACGTAAATTTGTTTCGACGGATTCGCGTTGCGACGCATCGCAATGTCAAACAATTCCCTCGTGCGTGAGAGGGCTTGCAAAAGTGCAAAAATAAAAATGATCAAGTGCACGCGTGATCCGCTTATAGCATAGCCGTCTTTTGCGATATCACGCGCGCGACGCAGTTTTTGTAAACTTTATAGGGAATTCATTCCGGCCGACTGTGCCGAAGGGTCCGTTCGCGTCACGTTCGTATAAATTACACGTGCATTCGTCGGTCGATCGAGCATGGTTAAAACCCCGCTTCACGAGCGATAACGGTTTCCAGGAGCAAACACTCCAACGCTGTTTGCCCTCTTGCCCCGACAATATTGGCCACTTGCCACTCGGTGTCGACCGGCTCGGTACCTGCACGCGTCTTTACTCTGCTCTCCAACCGCATGAGCTCACGCATAAACGGATATGGAAGACAGATATTGCGGCGCGTATTACCCAAAGTTACATACACAGTAAAAAACATAACCCGAGGCGAAAACCTGTGTGATACAAATGCTCGAAAGATAAGCGCAGTATACGGGGTGAATTTTTTAACTTGGGACTGCAAAGTATCTGGAAAAATAAGCATTGTACGAATTAATGTTCCAAGTAAACTCGTAATATTTTCGAGGGGGCAATTCCATCCCCCAAAAGTTAGCCGCCTACCGCCCCCCTGGAGGTGGGGCGGGGGGGGGGTGACTTTGAAATCTTAAATGGGAATCCCTATTGTTTATTATACAGTCTATTAATCAATATGAACAACTTTTATCTGAAACATTTTTTTATTTGCCTAATACTTTTTGAGATATTCAAGAGAATAACTTGTTCAATATTTAGCTTACGATATCTCGATAACCGGTTTGCCGGAGGAAGAAGTAGTACAGGACTTTTTTACTTGATTTGGTCTCAGGAATATGCTGTTGCAATAGTGCTCCAATGATTGAAAACTGTTGTTTATGTAAATTTGGTGTATGTTACAATATTGGAACACTTTTACAACAGCATATTCCTGAAACCAAATCAAGTAAAAAAAGTCCTGTACTACTTTTCCCTGCAACAAACAGTTATCGAGATATCATAAGCTAAATATTGAAAAAGTTGTCAATTTTCTCTTGAATATCTCGCAAAGTATTAGGCAAATCGAAAAATGCTTCAGGCAAAAGTTATTTATATTAATTAGTAGAATAAGATAGTATAATAAACAATAGAGGGTTCCATTTAAACGATTGAAGGTGACCTTTACGTGACCTTCACGCGACTCGTCAAGATCAAACTAATGGTACCATCTTGTGTCCCCCTTCGAACCGAATAACTTTTGTCTGAAATGTTTTTTTCTGCAGTTAAAAAGTTATTTGGGGTGGGACTTTAAATTGGGACACCCTGTATACTTGTAGCATTTAAATATATTAAAAAGGTATATTAAAAAGATGCTCCGTGAGCTGCCTTTTAGAAAAATATGACTTTGGAGCACGTTGATGATGCGTCTGACCGCAATTCATGAACTGATTATAATTTGCAGCATTGAGAATATGACGCAGAGCATTCCAACACGGAAAACAACATAGAAATTGAGCATATGTCGTATTTAATGATGACTTATACGACTTATTGTTAGATTTTCGCTCGAGAAGTGTTAGATTAACTGAATGTATTCAAATTAACGCGTTTACTGTTGTGTATGTACGTAACATTCTATAATCTTCGGAGAAACATTTAATAATCTTACATTCCAACAATGTTATAGTTTTATTTAAATACTATAATTGTTACTTCAAGAATACATATAATTATTTTGACAATAAAGTTATTTTATTCATTACAACCTGCGATTTGAAAATATGTTATTTTCTATCCAATATTGTTTCCTTTCCACTCAAGAAACTTATCCTTAAATAATAGGCGTATATTTTTCTTCCTTTAACGCAATATAATCTCATTTCAAGATTTGGGGCTCAACTTATTTTAGTATATAACATTAGATAGTATCTGTTTCTGTTTTACTCTCATTAACTTAGAAAGTTATATGACCTTCACGGTTTAGACGAAGAATCTGTCTGTCTCTTCGGTACAGGCTCAGTCTCTGCAATATATTTAAGGTGATTGAATTGGAAAAAGGTCAGAAGGTAGTGTCTGTTCTAAGCACCCCGGAATACGTTGACCGAAATGACATTACGAGTTAGCTAAAACAAAAGTCTGACATTACTTCCCGTGTATAATTTCGAGATCGCACCACGAGGAACCATAAAAACTAATGTAATGAAAAAGTTTAACTTTACATTAAGTATTGCGAACTTTCCTTTTACCGAAAATAGGAAAAATGATTTATTGCACCATTATTAGATGAGTAGAATGAAATTGTAGAGGAAGAACTGACCAAATAATCTCAAATGGAAATAATTACTATAATTGTAAAAAGAATTAAGGCACAATAAAATTAAAAATAGATGAGAATTGATAAACATAGGTGTACTGTATCTAAAACTATAACAAGGTTATTAAAAATATTCTATAGCGAAGAATAGATGATAATAAAGGTCTCCCTATTTTATAAATACATGTAATAGAAAGTGATCTTCTATTTACAATTCTACATAGCTCTCGCAAAACATTTCGCCCCATCGAATCTATTATGAATAAAATTTGATGAAGCGAAATTCTTTGACCACCCGTTAGACATTGGTATTATTCGCGGTCAGCTTGCTTGGATAACCAGTAAATCGACGTATACAAATATTTGCGTAACGCATACGTTTACGTCTATTACAAGAGCGCATTCCAGATGTATAAATTCCGACGAACAATTACGCCGATAGCAAGCAGCCTGGGAATATCATAGTATTGTAGGTGTGTAAGCTAAACGAAAACGAGGCAGTTGATATTCTAACATAAAAAGAAGCGAAATGACGTATATGTACGTATTCAAATATTAACCGCCGTAAATGGTCAACTGACATGAAAGGTATTGTGAGCGACGTATTTCCGGAAAATTGTTTTCTCTTCGGGGAGCTTTTCCATATGTCAAGGTCAGAAATGCCGCGGAGAGGATCTACCTTGCCGTCCGCCAGAACGGTGCTACGTATAAACGTATCGATCGCACGACTTTTATCGAATAATAAGACGGATGTGCGAGGAGAACTTCTTTCCGGATCTTCCTCGGGCAGAGGAAAAGGGCACCCATCATTCAAGTGACTCAAACTGTTCTCATTTTTATTTCTGGCGCATTGGTACTTTTACGTGGTATCGCGAAATAAATACGCGCATTGACCACCGCTCTTGTTTTTTCTGACCCTTTTCTGCGCTCACGCACGCATGGGATATCGTCGCTTCGGTTGATATCCCGGCCCTCCAGCGCGGATATAGCCACTCGAGCCACTGTTTGCGCTCCGGCTGATCTTTCATTTACCCTGCAGGTGGGCGTGTTGCCGGCGGCTTAGCCATACTTCGCTTACACTATCTATCCACACGTCGTATCCCCGATAAAAGTGACGGTGACGCTCGTCGCGATCGACGGATCGAGTCGCGCACTCGCTCGGTGATCGATAATCAACGCTCCGAGCGCATTGTTAGTTGACTGACAGTGAATAGAATAATTCAGCGACGAAAAATATACAAAATTAATTCAAACGAGAAACATGAAGTTAATGACGGTTTCGATATTATGAATTATTGTGATGCCTGTAACGTAAACGCGTTTTTACGTCAACTATTAAACGCGGCCAATATTGCAATTAAAACATTATGCGACCTCCGCAACTTGACCGAAAATTTCATTCACGCTGGAAAATATTGTGAAGGATTAATTGTATCAACTATGTTTTTTAATGCCGATGAATTTAAAAAGGAGAAATTACAATGTCTAATTAGAAGGCACTTATTCGGTTAAATTATTTATTTGAAATCGGTATTGCATGCAATATTGGAAAGATTGATATCAAAATCACTGTATTTCTCGATTTCGCGTATAAACTATACGTGCAATTAATTCCAAAGCGTGCATCATTTTTACCAAATAAAACGATTTAAACAATTTGAAATATAATTTCAGTTACCGTGAAAAAATTATGCATAAAATATTATATATGTATATCAAAGTTATTCTTACCTTTTCAATAGAATGTTACATCTTCACGATCATTGTCGCCACAAAAATTTGACATGCAATGACACGAGAAAGATCACTAGAAAGTATTCAAGCACAAAATATAATTCTAAATTAATTATATCGAAATCTTAAGGAGGATTTTTTTTAATGGAAAGGAAAGTGAGAGCGAAGGAGTAAATTTCCCAATAAATAAGAATTCCTATAAAAATTTACAAGTTTCTACAAATAAAAATTTATTTGAAAATCAAACAATTTTTCTTGGAAATTCAGTGAAAAAGTCGATAAAAACTTTTATATGCTGTCCCACGTAATATTCTCCCCTTGAACTACTCGATAAAGGCTTGATAAGGTTCATCAAAAAGAGGACAATCCGGTATCACGATACAGGACATTTAAATAATCACACAAAATACGAGGGTGGCAGAAGGTAATTTTGTAAATTATTTCATCAAAAACCCAATGCAAAGCTTAAGAATCTCATTAAAAACTTAATTGATAAACTATTTATTTTATTGCAATTCTCGAAAATAGTTCTCTTAATTGCGACTCTTCAAATTCTATAAATTGTTCTCACGTTTACAATCGTCCTTTTTATACGCTTTTTATGCCCTGAGACACTTCACGCGATGATTTTTACGTATAGAACGACGTCATTTGCCAAAAAAAATCATCCGTGACGATACCATCTGCACATACGTGACCATCCGGCAGGTTCGTGAACCCTCTGATGCCGTAAGATCGAAGAGAAAGAGCGTCGTTTGTGTAATAGCTCCTGCGTGGCACATCAGAAGTACTTCGAGTTAAGTACCGACTCGATAGCCTTCATCCGACGAGTGTTATCACCTGACCGAGTATTTTTTTGCCCCTTTTTCACCCACCCCCGCTCGATATCACGTTCAGAATACATGTTCCTACGAGGACCAATTAAACTCACTCCTCCCCTATTCGCACGACACGACCATTAACTCGTACTCGCAGAAAATCAGCAGAAACTTAGATAAGATCGAAGAATTTTCATAATGAGTTTTCTCTATACCTTCTCTCGACTAAACAATTCCGTTATCCTACAGATAATTAAATCTCTTATGAAACCTACAGATATAAATACAAATAGCTCAATTATTTCTCTATTAAAACATATTAATGTCTTCTGTGAATGATTAATAATGGAAGGAAAATTGGTTCTCTAGAATCTGCTGCTAATCGACTGGTGATTTTTCCTTCAACAATTTTCGCTCAACAAGAACTTTTATCGTATACCCTTTTTCGTTCCTTTTTCCTCGTACATCTTAATTATTCATAGAACGCTTTTTTTTACCCTTCCCCAATTGTATAATTGCCACGCTTCTATTTCTCGCACGTAAATAAAAACCGCTGTTGCGTAAACGCATTTTGCGACCTCGCGCATGCGAAGGTCATTCCGCGCGATTTCAGCTGCAGCGAAATTGCACGTCGTGGGTGTCGCGAATATCATTCTCTCACGGGCATTCGGATTTCGAAAATGAGGTCTCGTGCGCGCGATAACGCTATTATGCAGCTACGGCGATTAATAACGAACGACGTTTATAGATGCACGGTGGTGCGTTATACGAGAGGTCAGACAGCTCGTAATATTCTAAGCTACATTAACAAACGTTTTCCCGTCCTATTTCGGCACCTTGACATGAACATTAAGCGATTCTGTACACCCGCGATTCTAGCGTGATTTGCGCATCAATTATTAAGGTTGTTACTTAAAATATACGTTTAATGATTACTTCTATCGAAGCAAATCTACTGCATTTTTATAAGATGGGAATTTTTCCAAAGTAAATTCTTAACTTCATAAAATCTTATACGTAATATTTCCCTTTGTAAAAATACAACTATAAGCATGTTACAATGTAATATGAACTTTTATTATACGAGACAGAAAGAAGAGAGCAAAAACGCAATTAAAGTTAACATGCCTCCATTATAATTTATCGTCAAAGAAAATCATTAAATATTCGATTATTATCATCTTTTGAGTTAATATCTTTCCGTGAAGATTATGAAGATATTAACGTAAAAGCAACAGTATTGTAATTACATTAAACAATTTAAATCGCTTATATATTTGATGAAGTATAATTAATAATTTACATTAATTATCAATAATTTAACGTTTGCATATAACAATTTAATAATTAGATTTAAAAGTCTGATAAATAACCGATAAATAATACACATTTCATGTATGTCCAAATATATGAAGAAATTAAATAATCGAATGGTAGATGATCTCGGCTTGAATGGATCATATTGTCATTTAATTAGATACAAACACAGTTAAACGAAACTACACCATGCTCTCTATCGGCCTAACTGGAAAGAGCGAATTGTTAGAGAACCGGTCGATGTAACTAACAAACGGTGCACTCGTGCCATAGTATCGAGGTAATTAATGAAATTACAATACACGCGCTACACTAATGACGAGACGAAGCGTTATATCGTCCACAACAATGTCCGGAGCATCCGCCATCGGCATTCACGTGGGAAAACTGGGGACTGTCTAAATGCGCTTTTCTGAAAATTGCTTTTTGTGTATGTAATTGCAAAATGCGTGTAATTTTTATTTTTTAACGTAAATTTTTTGTTACTTTTAACATGCATTGTGTCATTAACTATAATAAAATTGTTTTACACAAACAAGCAGTTTTGGATAAGCAGTCGCTTTGGAAAATTTTTTAAATACTTTTATTACTTTTTTTATTTTTTGTTTCTCTTTTCGTTATACATTTCGTTATACACAGCCCTCCGAATAATTTACACGTTATATTGTTATGCAATTATACAAATGTATTTTATTTAAAAAGTTTTATATTTAATATTATTTAGGAGACAAGTTATTTTTAATTGTCACAATTTCTGAAAGTTTTTTTATATTTAAAGATATATTCGTGTACATGTTATTTATATTAATTGCAATTTGCATCATTGACAGTATAAGAATATAAAACCAACAATGGTTTTCATTTTCTATTTATTCTTACAATTAAATATTATAATTTAATAAACTTGAAATTGTATAACAGAATTTAAAAACAGAATAATTAAGGTAATTTTTCATATACATACGTCATATAAAATAAAATAATATAACATTATATTGATTACTTAATAAATGTAAACAAAATAAAAATAAAGAGTTTAGTCGCTGTAAAATTATTTCAAACGTTTTTATTACTAATTGCAAGTAAAAATATCATTTAAATCATATTGAAACAGCAAACTTGTTCCACTTTTGTTACTAAACTTGTCATGTTACATTCGCAAATTACATCGGTAGAATTCGAGTTTGATGCGGATGTAATTAATACTAATCTATGCAATGCACTCGATCTGTCTGCTACTACCGTATTATTAATATCTTGTTCACTTTAAATAATGTTAGTAATATATCATTAATATCCCAGAAAAAATTTTCATACATGTATATGTATAATAACATAAAATATGCCCATACATGTTTTCTGTCTCATATAATAATTTGTATTCGTATGTATAAGAAAAAGAAGAATATAATAATTGAAAAATTAAATTCATTCCAAGATTTTTTGAAAAATATTCTACTAAAATATATCTGAAAAATATAACCTGGCTGAGATAATATTTTTCGCAATAAATTTAAAATATGAAATATTTAGACATTAACACCCTGTCACGGCTCTTAGTCAGGTCTAGGCGGCATCGGGCAACGGCAGAGAAATCGTAAGGTAAGTGTCTTACATTTTTGTTATTTGCTACTTGTGCAAAATGAATCATCTGCTCTGTGCTTTTATTTTATTTATTCAAATGATTCCAACGAGCATTCGAATAAGTGTTAGAGACAAAACCATACGTATAAAATTTTGTGAGTTCATATTTAAAAGGAAGCCTTTCAGTATTCTATATAATTGTTTTAATAAATACCCATTTTTTTTTAAATATAAAATATAAAGTATATTTAATACAATAGTTTCGATTTTGCATAATTAGTCTATAATAATCGTATACATTTTTGTATTGTTACAGTTTAACATATATAGTTAGCGATGTACAACTTTGCTGTTGCGACTCGTGAGTGACATATTACTTTTTATTTTAAAGTGACGTTGCGCATATAATTACCTCTCTCTCTCTCTCTCTCTCTCTCTCTCTCTCTCTCTCTCTCTCTCTCTCTCTCTCTCTCTCTCTCTCTTCGCGTGTGTACAAATTCTTAAAAAAAGTTGTACAAAAAGTTTAAGATTCTGGGATTCACGATGTTTAATGCAAGAGGCATAGAATTTGGCTATTGCTGTGCCGTCCGTTTTTATTCTATTTTCCCAATTCACAATGTTTGCCATGTTTTGTAGATCTATCGTTGTTTTGGCACGCTCGGTTTCAATGTATTTTCTATTTTCTTCAATTACAGACAGAAGCTGTTTCATCTTCTTACAATAAATTGCCACGTGACATTTCTCCAGAAATTCTTTTAACTGTAAGCGGTATATCGATTTAATATTTTTAATATATCTGAATATTAAACATTTTAAAAATTTCCTTAAATTTTGTTTCTTTTTAAAATACCTGTATTATACAAAATGTAAAGAGATCTGGAAAATATATTCTGTAACTTTCACTTGCTGCATATTCCAATGTAAGTTGATAAATAGTTTCAATAATACTATCTGTGAAGCTATTTTCTACCAGTTGTGATTTCGATATTCTCAAAATGCAAACAAGAGACATAGGTTGCATCTTAGCTGCTTTACGTCTTTTGTTGAAATCGTAAGAATCCAGTATCTAAAAAAAAAGAGTTTGGCGTAAGATAATTGTATATCGTACGATTGCAATTATTAAGACTTGAAAATAATTGATACCTCGAGAAGGAACGGCAAAATAGGTACAAACGTTCCGGTTTCCTTAGAAATATTCATTAACATTTCCAAACAATGGAATCGCAATGGATAGTGTTGCACAGTTGGATTAACTTTTATTGTTCCAATAATAATCTATCAAAACGTAATTGAATGCATTTTTATATAGTAAGCCGCATTACTTTTTATCGCTTGTTTATTCAAAGTGGTTCTAATACCTGGACTAACGGATATAACAGCGACCCCAACGTTGACTTATTTCTGGCATTAATTATTAATTCTGTCCAAAAGCGCAAAGAATTTATGTACTGCCAATTATATACAGCCTCAGAGTTTTCCTGAAAACAAGACACTCTTGCATGTTAGTAACACAATTTATGAGAAGTACACAATTGCTGTTCAATGATTACCTTGTTCTTTAATGTCACGGCGTTTCTTAAATCAATCGCCAATTGCCTGATATGTAAGAAGGCACGACTGTACGAAATATTATAGTCAAGCAGGTATATTTCGACCAGGGAGTGCCTCATGAAATTTATCCTCGGTAATGTTTCGAGTGAAACAAATTTCGTATTCTGACCGTATTTCGCATACATGGTCTGAAAAAAAAGTTTTAACGATGCAATTGTCCGCAAATATTCTTTTTATCATTAACATGTGGATCTCACCTCTAATAGTTCCTCAAGTACAAACTCTTTGCCGGTTGCAAAATGTAAGATATTCATAAAGGCTACAACGCAAACTGTTTCTTCTGCAGTTGACCACAACTTTACTAGGACACTTAACAACGGTTTACAAATTAAGGACGAGAACGATTGGGCGCAGGGCAACATTTGGTGAAGATGCTTCAGAAGCACTGTGAGAACAGCAGTATTGGACGATGCTATACTTTGCAGTAACTGAAACAGGTGTACTTGTTAACAGAATACTTATTGTTATATACATTATTTCAACTGTATTATAATAGAGGAAAGTCCTCTATTGTGAAATAGGTTTCTGATATGAGGTAGCAGGTTTTCAACACACAAATTCAATCACAAATCTCTTTTCGCACCGATTACACGATCAAACAATGAATTTTCCACTAAACAGATTTCACTCCAAGAGCAGTAAATTCGTGGTGGAGTCAACAGATGCCTGTTAATTTAATAGAAACTATCTCATATTAAGTTTGTCTCATAATAGGGGACTTTCCTTCATGTAAGACAAATGAAGAATTTACATATACATACTTTAATTAAATCTGACATGTAGAGTTTCAAAATTTCTTGTACTTTTTCAATTCTCTTAGATTTATGTGCATCCGGCGATTCTGGATCCAGTTTTAGAAAATATCTAAAGGCATCAGGCAAATGTGTTACGCACAGTTGCAACACGCCATTGAATGCTAAACATGTTTCATAATGTTAAAATAGAATTATTTAAAAAGTAATTGGCGATTTAATAGAAATTAAAACTGACTTGCACTTCCTTCTACTTTATATCGCGCGGTTGTATCCGGCGATACTGCGATACTATTCAAAGCCGCATGGAAGGCCTCTACGGCACATTTAATAGTAACAGTCGATCTACAAATTAAAGACAGTGTACAGTTATTATTTCGCTGTTGTTTCGATAAAACAAACAAAAAACTTACTTATCCGTACGTATTTTTTGTTGCCAAGCTTTCAGTAATTGCATTGTGATCCTTTCACGATCATCGTCAGCTTCTTCTGGTCGAGAATCGCTACAATCGCTAGCAACCTAAAGACCCAATAATATTGTAGAGAAAAAAGTACTTTTGAAAAAGTTAAAATTACATTTATGAATGAACAAGGATAAAAGGCCAATAACACACGAGCGATAGAAGGTGAAAGTAACAAATAATTCAATTATTTAGATATAAGTTTTGGCGAACGTTTCGGTATCACAGTGCCTTCATCAGCGCCTGGTTTAGTTACATCAATATAAAATAATATTAAAAATGTATAGTATAATTACAGTAAATAGCCATGGTCAAAGGATGAAATATAAATAGTTGTGTATAATATAAATAAAATATATAATCATGGTCAGAGAATGAAATATAAAAATTAATAAATTAATGAGCTTATGAACTAGAGATACGAGTCAATGTTCTTAAAATTCGCGTCCGCATTGTTGTACAAGGCTACGTGGTTCTACTGTCTGTATATGTGAAAAGAGAAGATGAGAATCCGACATTCCATCCTATGTCAGGTTTGTAGACTAGAATAGGATGCTCTTATTCGTTTTTTTTATTAATTACTCTAATGAGTGATCTAGTGCAAGGATTATCAATCCTTATACTTTTATGAAAAAAGACCTTTAAATTTGCGCTAGAAATGTCATCAGAGTCCACTGAAGAATTATCATCATCTTCGTCGTCCGATACTCCAGAGTCTAAGAGATCTTTGTCACTTTCTTTCAAGTATTCATAGCAATCAGGATCGGTGTCTTGTAATCTTATCAGTGATCTTTTGTGTTCCGTGGGATTCAAATTACTCTCGCCGTCGCTGCTGCTGTCAGATTGCTCGCTGTCCTCGTCGCCTGCGTCAAAAAAGATATAACAAGATCTGGAACATACAAATATAAAATGAAAAGGCAATCCAAATATTTCAGACATCATACCTGTGTGTTCAATCTTTTCTCCACTGTCGTACGTATCGCTATCTGTATCGTCTTCGAAATCTTGTTCAGGGAACGCCTTCGTAGTTACTTTGTTCAAGTCTCTCTTCTCTTTTATAGCAGCTGCTGATTTCGTTACCTCCTGTAACTCGGAAAGCCTCTGGATCTTCTTCACTTTCATTTTTCTGATAAGTACACGTCTGTGACTGACTCGAATAACCTGGGAGAAATTATAGATTATGAGTACACGACCGAATACGTGCAAATGCGAAAAAGACAAGGGGGTCAATTATTGTGAAAATGCTACAAGTGAATAGCTTTGTCTTTTTCTAACCGTGCCTTTAAACAGAGACGAAGCCGCACGCTCTTAGCATTTTCACTATATATTGTAAGATACAGAACCTCCTGATTAGCACGTGTATAACCTTCTCTTTCTTGACCCTCTTATCTTCAAATAGGAACTGATAATCGTATACGACAGAACGCCTGCTTCTCTCACCTGCAATCTTCGTTGAATTAATCATACATAAATATTACGTTTTATTTTACAACTTCCACGTGCGTGGGATTCTTCAACGCCATATGCGTACCAGCAGAGAGAAACCTGAGCTGAGAGCGGCCACGCCAGCGTCGTTTCGGGAAACTGTTTTGCGCGCCCTTACGCTCATTTTCACTTTTGGAACTATTTTATTACGCACTTTCAGACTCTGTTGATAAAATTTCCACTTGGTACACGTCTGTGCTATGCACAGTCTCTACAGGGTGAGTTCATTTGTCCACGAGCTCGTGAGAAGGTAGAACGGATCGAGATGAACAGAAAAGTCCTGAAACATTTTGCAATTTTCGCAATAGTTAACGAGAAAAAAATTATCGAAAATCGTCGTCTTTGCCCTGCCCACTG